GCACATCCGAGACATGTTATCTTCATGAAGCTGTAGTATCACAGCAGATTCTTCATCCGCATACAATTTCAAGATAAAGTTCCTACTACAGCTAATAGATAGTACAGATGGAGTTTTTATTGTAACATATACCCATACATCCACAATTACAACTACATAAAAAAAGCTTGAATAAGAGCATTGAGAGTATTGAAAAGAAAGAGACAGAATGACAGATAAAGCTGCTGATCCTGAAGGCAACCATTCAAGCATGTGCTCCCTTAAAGAAAAGAATCGTAACAATCACAACATTGTGCTTTTTATTCGCTCAAAGATCTGGAAAACTTTAACTGCAGGGACACAGCCTTCTCTCACAATGGTGATGGTGCCTGCAGAAAGAGTGAGATAAGTTAGATGGTGCTTCATAAAACACCCAAATTTGAATTTTATGTGACTTCTTTTGTGTTCACCTTCATCAATCTTCAAGCAGTTAACCACAGTGGAAGCAACAACTTCATTAGAGTCTCCATCACAGAGAACTCCTTGGATCTTGTGTCCGAGTCGACTGTGCCAGAAAAGGGAGGGTAAATGAGCGGTCAGCAATCATCTATTACTAATACTCCACATCGTAAAATAAATAATTTGTCACTTTTCTACAGAAACATTTGCTGTAAGGGGTTACACATACTGTCACAGGTTAGATCAGTCCACTACTTTGTAAGCTGTTTGCAAGCTCTTACTCAATGACCATGCTGTGGTGGGTGCTGTCTGCCTCTCCACTTGGATTGGCTGAGGTGATAGCAAGCGGTCCAGTAATATTACACAAGTGGCCGGTAACTGTGTGGTCAGGGACACGAATCATGATGCTGTCCTGAGTCCCAACACGGTCATAAGCTGGTCCCACTCCTACACAGACAGATTGAGCTGAGGTGAGTGCTGATAAATGACACAGATTCCAGTAACACCATATTTACGCTGCACTACAAAGTTTACCGAGTTGGAACAGCCAGTCTCCTTTCTTGACAATGCAGCTGATGCCTCCGGGATACACATTCCTCATAAACTCCCAGAGCAGAGGACTGAAAGGAGGCTTGGCTGCCACCAGCTGTTCCACGCTAGAAATGCAAACACATATGGGCTTCTCGGCTGGTCTGTCCTGGAACAGGTTATAGATTGCAGATTAATAAGCTTTATACATCACAGACACGTGAATATTGAATTAATTTGCCAATCTTTTAATGACTCTTACTTTAATATTGTATATTTTTTCAATGGCCTGAGGATTTTTGCAGGATGCAGCTAAGGCGTACACGGTGTCTGTCGGAATGCCGCATACTCCTCCTTCCTCCAGAATTCCAGCGATCTTCAAGAGACCGCTGGTTAGTCGTGAGCTGGCTATCGGACATGGCAGCTCTGGCGATGTTTCCTGCTTCTTTACCTCCTAAGACAGGACACAGTGGAAAGGGCATGTTTAAAAAAACTGACTTTGAGAAGGAGCACAAAGTCAGTTTCATCTCTGCTTACCTTTAGTAAGGGAGGACCCATAGGTATGAGTCTCTCTGAGAAGATGCCGCTCACCAGTGTTGCCAGAATGCCATATACACAAATTATTGCCACCAGTGCAAGCATAGCAACTGTAAAAAAGAAAAAAGAAAAGCCAGTTTTAGAAATAATCAGCTTGAGAGTCTCTATAACATTTTATATCATTTTTAATCAAAAGTGAATCCTATGTTTAAAAATGAGGCTTTATCAATACTTACTTTCCAGCCTATATGGCAGTCGCTGGAGGGTGGAGAGCAGGAAACAGACAAGAGCAACTTCCATCACAGTCGTCAGAAGCAGCAAAACCAGGTTCTTATAGGCAGCTAACACACACAGACACGTAAAAAAATCCTTCTTGAAACAAATAATCCAATCAACAAATCTTCTATTGAGACTAACAGGGAATTTTAATCTTACCAATCAACATGAGGAAACCATTAATGACCAGGAGGGCAATGGCTCCTGCTGTGAAAGCATAAGCTGCCCCTGTGGAGAGCTGAAGCAGGGTACCTAGAAAAAAAAAAAACTTGGGTTAAGAATCTTTTCTAAATCAGAAAGAGAAATGTCCACACTAGTGTTTGTACTGGCATACCTGCGAATCGAAACCAGGTCCATGTCGCCCATACTCCCACATAGATGGACGAGATGACTGACCCAAACCGACCACCACCTGTGACTTGCAACCTGCTGACGTAAGCCTGGATGATCGCTCCAGAGATCAGGACCCAAGGGATGGTCAGATGAAGGAACGTGGGATTCATACTGGACAACTTAGAATGAATAGCTGACAGAGCTGCGACCCCATTTAAAAAGTAAAACAGAACATCGGAGGTCTGGTCAGTGTGGGGCACCATCTCGCTGCCTACTTGTTGGGACTTGCCCCACTTCAAAGCCTTCTTCATATTTGCAGTGGAGACAGGCTGCTTCCCTACAGGGATTAGTAACTTTTCTGCTATACTGTTGATGAGACGTGCAAAGGTGCCATAGATGGAGACTGCGGTAAACAGAGCACAAGCTACACCAAAGAAGATGTAGTAACCCTCAAGTGGAATCTGGGGTACTGTTGAAACTGTGACTAGGACAAAAAGCATGTTGTGGATCAGTTCTAGGATGTCCATATTCAGACTTCCCACACACAGAATCAAGCCTGCCACCACAAAGAACCAGTTTCCCACCATTGCTTCTCTAGCAGAGCCTACTTCGCTCTTATTTCCGATCAGAGTAGACGCCACAAACTCACTCCAAGCCTTAATCAGCCAATATGTGGCATGAAATCCAAACTTTGTAGTGTGGTAGCAGTCTTGGCGCAGATGGGCATAGTAGCTAGAGAACAATTGGGCGAATGAGATGATTGAGACCCAGGCAGCTCCTAAACCAAATGACTTCATGTACCCGAAGCTGTAGAAAGCAAAGATGAAAGGAGCTACAGAGTCACAGAAGAAACCCAACGCCATGGGTTCAGCATATTTGGTGTTTTTCTTCTTCTCTTGGCCAATGCTCTGTGCACTTGCTGAGTTTCCGATTCCTAAGAGAAGAACATTAAAGAGGGGGGTCCCAAAGCCTTTGAGGGCTAGACGTTGGGTCAAACCTTTGAGGAGCAGTACAGCTGAACCGTAGATGGCAAAGATCAAAATGAGCAACTCCAGGACCCCGGATACTATGAGAGCCCAGGAGCTTGCTACTATACCCACTGCTTCAAAGATTAAAGTGGCAGTGATGGCCCCAAAAACAAAAGGCATGATGTAGTTGACTGTGGCAGAGCAAAATGCCAGGAGAAAGGACAGTAAAATGTAGGGGATCAGACCCGCAATGGCTGACTCTTTTATGGACAGGAAGAAATAGCCACCTGGTATCTCTGCGGAGCCATTCAGAGATATGTTGGTCATGAGGTCAGTGGACAGAGATAAATTGCTTGTCTGATTTGTTGTTTGATTGTCAGAGACACCAGAGTAGATTCGGGTCGCCCCATAACTAGCCCAAAGAGCAGCATAGCCAATAAAGGCAGTGCCACTCAGGTGATCGTATTTTCTAAAGGAAAGTAGCCCGGCAATAAGTTGGCATATACCTCCAATCAGGATGAGATGAACACCTGTTAAATAAAATAAAAATGACTTAGCTAACTCTTCCTTTTTTCTTTTTTACATTATTATAGCTGATTGTCAAAAATATGTACCTGCAAGTATGTTCTCCACCCCATATGCTTCTTTGCCAGTGTGGGCTGTATTGAAATTCTGCAGAAGTACAAGGAATGCACTGATCCCATTGGCTAGCATGCCCATTACTCCTGGTTCCCCATAGAAACTGGCAGGAAACCCTTCTAGTGTTGCCATGATATTTTTGCTGTCAATCTACAGATGTGCAACGAAGCAAATGAGGCAAACAATGCAAATCATTCAAAATACATTTCAGAATCTGTCTTAATCTTCTTTTTATCTGGCTAATGTAATGTAGTGTTAAAACAACTTAAACATTGTGGAAAAACACATAAATGAATAAAAATTCTAAATAATTATTAATAGTGAGTCATTTTCACATTTATAATTTATAAAAATAGAAAGAAAAGTAAATTATAATGATTAGAAATATTCCAAAAATACACTACAAAGCATACTGAATCACACAACTTCACTTACATCTTGTTAATTAACTATAGTTAGGCTAAAACAATATGTAACTCACTAAACATTTAAGGCTGAGGGACTGTCATTACAAGCTCTCCTAAAGGCAGCAGAGACACACAGAGAACTCGTATTTAACTTTCCTGCTCCAGTAACTGGAAAATTGTCACTGAGCACTAACGGGGAATTTTATTCATATCTAATGAAAAACATTTACTGAATATTTAACAGAAAACATGGATCTGTTAGATCAATTAGATAGTGTGATTTTGCTCATATTTAACTTTAAATGGTTACATATTCTTAACCAAGTAAAGCTATTTAGCTCATGTAAAAACATCATCTTAATCAGTACAGCTTTTTAAGTTGTAGCTGGGTTACATGCTCCTCTAAATAATAAAGTAATAAAGAAAGTGAAAATAAAGTCATACCTGGCAGAGAATCTTAGAAAGATGAACAGGCAAACTCTTCTGAAGCAGGAATGACAGTTTGACATAAATAAGGCTTTGCTACATGTAGGAGGAGTTGCTGTAATTTCCCCTGTCCCAAAGCCCTTAGATGTGACATCATCTTTGCACTGTGACAGTAAAGTAAACCTTTCCTCCTCCTCCTGCTGTGACGATGGTGACGTTGAAGACGTTGCCCACGGTGGAAATTCCTTTTTTTAATGATAAGTCTTTGTTATGGATATGCCCTTCCCTGTTCCTTTGAGTCAGGTATAAGATTAGACTATATAAGGCAGGTATCGTCTCACACTTAGAAGCATCAGCATCCCTGACAAAGTGCTGCTGGTAAAACTGCTGCATTGAGAAGAAAGAGAAAGAAGGACAGTCAACTTGACAGAAACACCAGACTGGAACCATGATTTCAACTGTAAAGGTAAAAGTTAAAAGTTATTTTTGTATTACTATTTTTAGTAGAAAACATTATAGTCATAAGTCCAATCAACTTAATTTAATTAAGTTAAGTCTTAATTTAAAATTGTCTGGCAGACTTAATTCAGTCTAGTAAATAAGAAAAACATAAATCCTAATGTCATATTTTTGCAGTGAGTAGTTGTTTCTCTGAGTAGACAGCAGAGTGATACTTAAATGAGCTCTTGGTAAATTTACAGCAGGTTAGTCATGCTGTCTTACACCTGTTACAGCAGCATCGTGTCAGCACAACAGCTCAAAAAAAAAAGTCACACGGGCTGAGTTCTACTCATTGCAGTAATGCCGATGTCCACTGAGACTTTAACAAAGCCAGAGTAGAAAATAACTTTCTCTAGAGCGTGTAATAGATCTGAGATGTTTTAAAAAGAAAGTACAATGCGTGTTAATTTCAGCATGGGTTTTGCTAATAATATTCTGCGCTCTTTGTCCTGTAGAAAGCCATTAGACCTGTGTGGGCTGCCAGAGCAATTCATAAATCTGCAGTGGAAGGTAAAACCTTTGTTGTGTTTCATTCTGTCAGTTCACCAGGAAACATATTTCTCTGTTTCACATTTTCCTTTTGCTTAGTCCAGACCGTGTTTTTTTTTCCCCCCATTGCATTCTTCTTTCATTCATTCATTCCTCTCTGCAGTCTTGAAGCAGCCAGCACCCGAGGACACAGTCACAGCCAGTTTTGGGAAGTTTATCAGTGAAATTAAGCCCCAGCATCTATCCCCTGTAGTGCTGCACCGCAGTAAAAGAATGGTGCTGGACAGCATTGGAGTTGGGCTGATCGGAAGCACAACAGATGTGTTTGAACTGGCCCTCCAGCACTGCCAGGTGAGTTGGGGAAAGGGATTAAAAATAAAGGTTTCTTATTAATGTTTCCTCCCATATAAGGCAGTGAGACAGGTGAAAGCAGAAGCCTCACCTTTTATTTTATTATTTTTTATTTTCTTTCTGATGATTTTTTTAGTTTAGGTGTTTGTCATATAACTTACAAAGAAACCTGTTGAGGTCCCATCGTTATTTAAAGCTTTTAAACGTTTAGTTTGTGTGTGTTTGTGTGTGTGACTGTGTACACTGAGAGTGTCAAATGTTGCATTGTGCTTACCTGTCTCCGTCGCTTCCCCTCAGAACATGTACGCTCCTGGTGACAGCAGCTCTGTGTATGGACACAGGGGCATCAGACTCTCCCCGATACTGGCAGCTTTTGTCAACGGAGTGGCGGTGAGTATGAATAAGTGGAACAGATGTGTCAGCATGCACCAGACAATTTCACGTGCACAGAAACCCGTACCACTCCTAAAAAGTTGCCTGTGTGTGAGCTCAGTTTTTGGTCCAATCCTGGACGGTAAACAAAAGCAGGACTTGGTGGAAAATCCCAAAAATTTCCATCATTACATCAGGACATCTGCAAACATTGCTTTTTAAAGATGCCATCAGGGTGCCAAGCTCATTTCTATAGCCTGTGTTAGTCTCAGACAGTAAAAGATTGTAAAGTGAGAGGATTTTCTAATGAAAAACCGCCTGTGACTGAGTTTAGCCAGGAAGAGTATGCGCACTAAAAATAATAATTTGGGTGTAGAGAGCTAAATTACATCATTTAAGCACAAACACGATGCTTGGTACTGGGTCATATCTCTAACAGCAAGCACCTGTTTTTGCCATCAGCTCAGGAAATGTATCAGTAGCCATCTAATTAATTTTAACATTAAACTAATGCTGTGCTGGGCTTTGATGTCCTATCATTTGATCATTAAAATCTTTTTGGTTCAGACTCACTCCATGGACTTTGATGATACGTGGCACCCTGCCACTCACCCCTCCGGAGCTGTCCTTCCTGCTGTGTTAGCTCTCAGTGACATGATGCCAGCTAACAATAAGCCCAGTGGCCTGGACTTCTTACTGGCTTTCAATGTTGGCATTGAGATTCAAGGCCGACTACTGAGGTTCTCTAATGAGGCCCACAATATCCCCAAGAGGTGAGTGCTTTAGAGCTCTATAGCTACATTACAGTATGCTACCCTTAACTGATTGCATCATTGATATTAGGTTAGTTTCTCATTGACGATTCTGCATAAATGACTCTGGCTCTGCTGATCTCTACCCTGCAATTTCCAAGCAGGCTGCGGAGGTGTAATGCACGCTCTATGAATTGTGTCAACAAGCTCTAAAAGGCGTCTTTTCATGCTCATGCGGGGACAGCTGAGACTCTGTGTGTAGTTTTAGCACTGCTTAGCCATGTGGAGCAGAATATGACAGAGGACTCTTTTTGCCATGTGCTTACACCCTCAAATGTGTCACCACATTATGTGCTTGTTGATGACTAAAATCACTAAAAACCTCTTACCACTCATGAAATGAGCTGAGTTACACAAGTGAGAGGCTGTTTGGAAAAACAAGCTTTCACACAGGAGCTCTATTATGACCATTACGATATGTAGCACCCATTTAAAATTTAAAAACATCTAACCAACGTTTCTGTTTCTTTCTGATGAATTTCCCAACAGGTTCCACCCTCCTAGTGTGGTAGGCACCATGGGAAGTGCTGCTGCGTGTGCACGCCTCTTATCTCTGGACCCCATCCAGAGCAGTCATGCATTGGCTATAGCTGCTTCTCTAGCAGGAGCCCCAATGGCTAATGCTGCCACTCAGTCCAAACCCCTCCACATTGGCAATGCCTCCCGTTTGGGCCTAGAAGCAGCTCTGCTGGCCTCCAGAGGCTTAGAGGCAAGTCCTTTGGTCCTAGATGCTGTTGCAGGGGTAGCCGGCTTCAGTGCTTTTTATGAAGATTATGTACCACAGCCTTTACAATCGCCCGGTAATGACAGCCATATGTTCCTGCTGGAGGAACAGGACATAGGCTTCAAACGCTTCCCTGCTCATCTGGGGATGCACTGGGTGGCAGATGCTGCAGCCTCAGTCCATAAGATTCTCGTTGGAGTTGGCCCTGGCACTGTCTCCCCAGCTCAGGTGGAGGACATCCTGCTCAGAGTCCCCAAATCGAAGTACATAAACAGACCTTTTCCAGAGTCTGAGCACGAGGCACGCCACTCCTTCCAGTTCAATGCTTGCACTGTTCTCCTGGATGGAGAAGTGACTGTGCAGTCCTTCACCCCCGCTGCCATGAACCGCCCTGACCTGCACGCTCTGCTGAGCCGTGTTCGCCTGGAGCATCCCAATGACAACCCCGCTAATTTCAACCGCATGTACGGTGAAGTCCAGCTAACCCTGGTTGGGGGCGACACTGTGAAGGGACGCTGCAACACCTTCTACGGTCACTGGCGCAATCCACTGTCCAACGACAGCCTGAGGAAGAAGTTCAGGAGCAACGCAGAGGTGGTGCTTCCCTCAGAGAAGGTCGAGCGGCTGATTGAAGTGGTGGAGGACCTGGACCAGCTCAGGGACTGCAGGAACCTTCTCTCACAACTGCAATAGACTTTGGTTTTGTTGGAGTTACACAGTAGCCTAACAGCAACACAAATATTCTTGCACATAAAAATATTCAAATCAAAATATGAAAAAATCTACATGTTGAGCCATCTGACAATTTTAATATTGTAATATAGACATATATTGTTATTATCTCGGTTCATGAAAAAAATCAGTATTTTGAGATAAGAAGTTGCATTACAAAGGGAACATTAGGTGGATTCTATATATTGAATGCTTTCCAGTATTGCTGCTGTATATACAATGCATTAAGAGTTGTGCTTTTCCAAACAATGGATTCCTAAACGGGGTAAAAGATTGTTGCTTTTAATCTATATGTCTGCTTCTATTGTCATTCAAAGAAGACAATTTCAGTATTTCTATTTGTGTGTTTTCATCTAAATAAATAAAATTACAAAAAACGCAAAAAGGCATTGTCTGACATGTTCTGTGTTACATATTCCAGAGGTGCTTAAAGAGTCAGCTAGCTAATGATGCAATAAAGTAGAGCCTTGCTGGTTTGTCAATAAATGAATCACACCCATTAGATAGTTCAAATACATGTTGTAGTATCTGATTTGATTATAAGAAGAAATATGCACATATACTTCAAATGAAACCATCAGAACATCTACAGAGTGAAAGAAAAAGTTGATAGCTGGTTTTGTCTTTCAAGTGTGTTTATTTGGAGTGCAAACATAAAGATATGATAAAATGCAAAATGGTGCTGGGAAATGTAGGCTGGTTTCCTCGTTCCTGCTCCTTGAGCTTATGTGTGTGATGTGTCCACTTCAGTCTTACACAGTGAACTGGAATAGACAAATGTGTCTGTGTTTGGCTTGTTAATGAATAACATTTGGTGCAATTTCAGTGGTTTCCCCGATCTCATAAACCTTTGTCTCTTATTCAACCTCTTATTCATTTATTCATCCATTCTCTTTCACTTATCCAGTTCAGGGTTGTGTTGGGGGGGAGGGGGGGTCCCACCTATCTATCATAGGGCAAGAAGGGATACCTGTACAGGTTGTCAGTTCATTAAGTGTCTTATTTCACATGGAAACATTTAACTATATAACTGTGTAAAACTGGAAAACTATGGTGTATTATCTGATCATAAAAGGTATGTCTTTAATAAGTATTTGATAAAGACACAGTTTTTGTCATTTTCCCTCTGTACCCCAGTGCAATGGATTTGAAAGGAACCAATCCAGGTATGACATAAATGTAACTTTTAACCTTAATACACAATCTTTAAGAAACATATTTGATGAACCATTTAAAAATTACAATAATTCCAAAAAAATGTCCCTCTATCATCAAGGGCTCAAAAGCAATAATTTAAGGAACTGAAGTAATAAATAGTGTTATGGGCAGATGTGGTCTGCTGTATAGCAGAAAGAAGAGCATTTTGATTTCAGTTATAATAATAACATTAAAACACAATGTCTGTTCTGTTTTTCGGTTCAATAGGGTCTTATATCGCTGATAAACAGTTTCATAACAGACAACTGTGTTTTATTTATGTAAATTTTTCTTTAACTGTGGGTACGCAACAGAATTTTTAACATTTTTGCTTTATAAGATGAAGGCTGGATAATGCTCTTCTATTTTGTTCCCTTTAGTAGCTATTTTTTCCCTTTAGTAGCTATTAATGTGAGGTCTAAACATGTGTCCAAAAATGTGCTGATGCAAGCAAATAATTGCCAACAAAAAGAACTATTAGTGAGGTGGGAAAGACTTTGAGATTGGCAGATAAAGACTTACATTCCTAACTGCTGTGTTGGCCTTTCACAACTGAAAAAAAAAAAAAGTTGAGAGTTTGCTAACACTCGTTGGAGCTGATATTGTGAACTGCTGGATACGTTTGTTTTATAGTAACACAGAAGCATAGCAACAACACAAATATTCTTGCACATAAATATATTTAAATCAAAATATGAAAGAAAAATCTACATTTTGCATATTGCAGAGCTCAAATATAGCAAAATACATTTTGAGCCATGTCACTATTTTTAATATTTGTAATATAGATGTATGTTAATATTATCTTGATTCATGAAGAAATCAATATTTTGAGATAATAAGTTTCATTACAAAGGGAACATAAGTGGGTTCTATCTAACAAATGCTTTCCTGTATTGCTGCTGTATATAGAATGTATTAAGAGTTAACAATGCTTTGTGGTTTTCCAAACAATGGATTCCTAAACAGCCTAAAAGGTTGTTGCTTTTAATCTTTAAATCTTTAAATCTGTTCCTATTGTCCTTCAAATTCAGTATTTCTGTTTGTGTGTTTTCATCTAAATAAAATTACAAAAAATGCAAAAAGGCATTGTCTGACATGTTCTGTGTTACATATCCCAGAGGTGCTTAAAGAGTCAGCTAGCTAATGATGCAATAAAGTAGAGCCTTGCTGGTTTGTCAATAAATGAATCACACCCATTAGATAGTTCAAATACATGTTGTAGTATCTGATTATTTGATTATAAGAAGAAATATGCACATATACTTCAACTGAAACCATCAGAACATCTACAGAGTGAAAGAAAAAGTTGATAGCTGGTTTTGTCTTTCAAGTGTGTTTATTTGGAGTGCAAACATAAAGATGTGATAAAATGCAAAATGGTGCTGGGAAATGCTGTGCTGGTTTCCTCGTTCCTGCTCCTTGAGCTTATATGTGTTTAATGACGCGTCCACTTCAGTCTCACACAATGAACTGGAATAAACTTGAGTTTGGGTCGTAAATGAATAATTCACAAATTAAAACAAATCAAATTGAGATTAATGAAGAAGAAAAGAAAAGGCACTTTTAAGTTAATCTTTAAACTTAGCTAACAGTACCAACTTATTACCTTTGGTGCAATTTCAGTGGTTTCCCCTATTTCATAAACCTTTGTCTGGTATTCAACCTCTTATTGTCATGGTCCTGAGTCTGAGGACTCAGTGTTTTGTGTTCCTTATGCTTTTGTTCATTCAGAGTGTGTATTCTGTTGTGATTTTGCCATTTGTTAGGTTTCTGTTCTTTGCCTGCCTGCTTCCACTTCTCTGTGTTCCCTCTGTCTGTCCATGGTGTTATTGTGTCTGCTCATGAGTCTGCCTGTCAAGTTCAGTGTCCGGTCTGGTTCTCTGTGTCTGTTAGTTTCCTGTTTTATTCTGAAAGTTCATGTCTCATGTCAGTGTGTTCAGTTTTACCTCTCCCCTGTCTCGTTAGCCTTATTGCTCCCAGCTGTGTCTCCCTCCTGTGGCCCATTCCCTGATTACTCCCCGTGTATTTAAGCCCTGTGTTTTCCTGTGCTCTCTGTCGTGTCGTCTGTTTAACTCCATGTCAGTCTGCATTATTCTGTCACCTGGTATTCATTCTGTGTCTCTCTGCCATCTCTCTTTGTGCATTTCGCGCCTCCTCCCGTGAGTGTCTGGTTTAAGTTTTGTTCTTTAGTTTTCCCAGTTTAGGTTTGTTTACTCCCCGCTCTGCTCCTCCTGTTTTGTCACTTTATCACCTCTGCAAATAAATTTTCACTCGCACCCCAGTCAGTGCCTGCATCTTGGATCCTTTTCTCAATTCACCACACGACTGCTGTGCAGCCGTGACAGTACGACGTGACCACAAGATGGATCCAGCGGTCTTGGCCGGGGAGAGTGACCTCACACGTGCCCTACGCCTGGTGGACTGGGTAACCCACACCTCCAATGCACGAGCGAAAGTTGTGGGGATAAATGCCGTTGAGGCAATCCTGGCCGGAAATCCCTATCTCCACCAGGTCCGGGGATTTACAGACTTAATCGCTGAGCTGCATAAAGCCCAGGAAGCGGTGCAAGCTCGGGAAGTAGCCAATTGTGCCCAGCAACAATGGACTACGACCGCCACAAAGCATCCGTCTCAGATTCACCCACCGGAGGTTTCACGGCCCGACCCCCCAGAGGTTTTTCCCTGCCTGTCGGAGCCGTCAGCGGTGGGGAGGAAACATTCGCGCCACCGACGCTTCACCCCACAGCCGGATTCAGGGACTCCTGTGCGACCAGCTGTGGTGAGTTTTAAGGACGCTGGTGCTTCTGGGACTGTGTTTTCTGGGGCCGTTCATGGGGAGGGTAAAGACAGTACACGGTGTTTACCTACCTTCGTGGTAACTGACCTCTCACAAGTTGGCATTTTCAAAACATCCATAACAGTAGCTGACTGTGTTTCATCCACTCCACCACCAACTCCAGTCTCACTTCAACCAGTACATCAGCCTTTAGCCAGTTCATTAGCCCAGCCTGCATCTATGCCATTAGCCCGATCACCCGTTCCCTCCATACTGGAGGCTGTGTCTGTGCCACCCATTTTGAATCTCGTTCCTAGCACCCATTTTGAGCGGAGAGACAAATGCATTAAAACCACTCTAGTTTCTCAGAAACTGGCTAATTTAGAGACTGTTACTCGCCCCAGGGCCTCCCCAGAGGCTGGGTCTCAGCCCCCAGCAGACTCAGGACCCCTGGCGGTTAAGAAGCCAGCTGAGGACCACACCCGGCCGTCGCTGCCTGAGCAGACCCAATGCTCTGTGCAGCTGCAGTCTGCCATGTGTTTGCCAGAGGCCCGTGTGCCTGCTGGTTCTGTTCCGTCCCTGCCAGAGGCCCGTGCGCCTGCTGGTTCTGTTGCGTCCCTGCCAGAGGCCCGTGCGCCTGCTGGTTCTGTTGCGTCCCTGCCAGAGGCCCGTGCGCCTGCTGGTTCTTTTCTGTCTCTGCCAGAGGTCTCCGCACCTGCTGGTTCTGTCCTGTGTGTGCCAGGGGCTTTAGTGCCCACTGGTTCTGAGACTGTTTTTGCTGGGGGGCCCGAGGAGCCCGTCCAGCCATCTGCCTCGTCAGCTGGGGGGCCCGAGGAGCCCGTCCGGCCATCTGCCTCGTCAGCTGGGGGGCCTGAGGAGCCCGTCCAGCCCTCAGCTGCAGTCTCATCACCAGCTGCAGTCTCATCACCAGCTGCAGTCTCATCACCCTCGCCTGGTCCAGCTTCCGCTTCCTCATCAGCATCGCCTGGTCCAGCCTCAGCATCCTCATCAGCTGCTTCGTCTGGTCCCCAGCTCCTCTCAGCCATGCCCTCATCAGCTGCTTCGTCTGG